TTCACATTTAATTAAAAATACCATAACTGAAATAAAAGCTCCTGGATGGGCTCAAGAGCAGAAGGATGGGGGCCAAGGAAAGAACCAGTGAACTGGAAGACAGAACAACAGAAATCATCCCATGTGACAATAGAGAAAAAAACAGACAGGAAAAAATGAATAAATAAAAGGGACCTGTGGAACTGTAACAAATAGTCTAACATTCACGTCATCAGAGTCTCTGAAGGAGAGGAGGGAGAAGCAGAAAAGGGGCTCAAAGAATGGCTAGAAACCTCCCAAATTTGGCAACCTACACATTCAGTAAGTTTAGTGACCATCAAAGGATAAACCCAGAGAAATTCAGACCAAGACATATAATAACTAAAGAGAAACCTAAAAGGCAAAGAAAGCCAAAGACAAAGCAAAAAATCTCAAAAGCAGTCAGAGAAAATTAAGACCTTACAGATTTGAGAAAACCAAGCAGAATCACAACAGATTTCTTATCAGGAACCACGGAGACCAGAAGGAAGTGGTACACCACTTTTCAGCTACTGAAAGAAAACAACTGTCAACCTAGAATCCTATAACCACTAAAAACATCCGTCAGGAATGCAAAGGAAATCCAGGCCTTCTCATATGAAGGAAAACTAAGAGAATTTCTTAGCAGACCTTCTCCTAACAAAATGATCAAAGGAAGTTCTCTAAACAAAATCATGGAAAAAGGAATCTTGGAACATCTGAAAAGAAGCAAGAACACAGTATTTAAAAAGGGGGAGGGGGCAAATAAGTAGGCTTTCCTTCTCTTGAGTTTTTAAAATTATGTTTCATGACTGAAGCAAAAATTGTGTAATGTGGTTCTAAATGTATGTAAAAGGAAACACTTAAAACAATTATCAAAGGAAAGGTAAAGTGGTGTACAGATAGGTACTCTCAAACTGGTAAAATGACACCACCAAGAGACTATGACAAGTTATGTCTATATAATGTCTCATTATAACCACTAAAAAGTCTACACAAAGAGATATACTTAAAAACAATTTGTATTTTGATATATAAATCAAAATACAATTCTAAAGAAATGTTCAAGTAACACAAAGGAAGCAGGAAAAACAAAACAGAAATAACCAGAGATGCAAACAGAAAACAAAAATAATTATGCCCTAAGTTATTAGTAAATATTTTAAATGTAAATAATCTAAATACACCAATTAAAAGGCAGATTGGTAGATTCTTAAAATGATTCAACTGTATACTGTCTACAAAAGATTCACTCTGAATATAATGATTACAGGCAGGTTGAAAAACTAAAAATGATACATCCTGGCCGGGCATGGTGGCTCAAGCCTGTAATCCAAGCACTTTGGAGGCCAAGGTGGGCGGATCACCTGAGGTCGGGAGTTCAGGACCAGCCTGACCAACATGGTGAAACCCCACCTTTAAAAAAAAATAAAAAATAAAAATAAAGAAAAAAAAGATACATCCTGTAAATATTAATCTAAGGAGAGCAGAGTTGTTGTATTATCACATAATTTATATTTCAACACAAAGAAAATGACCAGACCTTAAGAGGAATATTATATAATGATAAAAGGGTCAATTCACTAAGACACAGTAAGCCTAAATATGCATGTACATTTAAACATCAGAGCTGCAAAATAATGTGAAGCTAAAACTAATACGACTGAAAGAAAAAATAAATAAATCCACAAATTTTGTTGTAGACTTCAACACCCATCTCAATAACACAACTAATGCAGTCCTAAGAGGGAACTAAATGTAACTAAAATGCTCACATTAGAAAAGAGGAACGATCTGAAATCAATAATCTAAGCTTCTACCTGAGGAATCTAGAAAAAGAAGTACAAACTGTACCAAAAGCAAGAAAAAAGAAATAATAAAGATAAAAGTAGAAATCGGGCTGGGCATGGTGGCTCATGTCTGTAATCCCAGCATTTTGGGAGGCTGAGGCAGGTGGATCAGGAGGTCAGGAGTTCGAGACCGACCTGGCCAACACAGTGAAACCCCGTCTCTACTAAAAATACAAAAATTAGCTGGGCCTGGTGGCGTGCACCTGTAGTCCCAACTACTTGGGAGGCTGGGGCAGGAGAATCACCTGAACTCGGGAGGCAGAAGTTGCAGTGAGCCGATATTGCGCCACTACACTCCAGCCTGGGCGACACAGCAAGACTTCGTCTCAAAAAAAAAAAAAAAAGAAAGGTATATGTAGAAATCAATGAAATTAGAACAAAACAAAATCAACGAAACAAAGAGCTGGTTCTTTGAACAGACTGATAAAACTAACAAACTTCGGCCAGGCACGGCGGCTTATTCTGTAATCCCAGAACTTTGGGAGGCCGAGGCGGGCGGATCGCCTGAGGTCAGGAGTTTGAGACCAGCCTGACCAATATGGAGAAACCCTGTCTCTACTAAAAATACAAAAATAGGTGGGCGTGGTGGCATGCCTGTAATCCCATCTACTTGGGAACCTAATGCGGGAGAATCGCTTGAACCCAGGAGGCGGAGGTTACGGTGAGACGAGATGAACCAAGATTGCACCACTGCACTCTAGCCTGGGCAAGAAGGGTGAAACTCCATCTCAAAAAAAATTTTTTTTTGACAAACTTCTGACAAGACCAACAAATAGAATAAAGACATCATGGGACAAATTAATATCAGAAATAAAACAGGGATAGCATTACAGATTCTGCAGACTTCAAAAGGATAATGAGGAATACTAATACAATTCTACAAACATTAATTTGACAACATATATGAAACTGACTCACTTTACTAAAAAACAGATAATTTAAATGATCCTATAACCATTAAGGAAATTGAGTATGTAATTTTATAACTCACAAAGAAGAAATCTCCAAGCCCAGATGGTTTTACTGGAGATTTCTACCAAGTGTTTAAAGAATTGACATTAATTCTATATCATTTTTTCTAAAGAACCGGAAGAAACACCTTCGAATTCATTTTATGAAACTATTATTACCCTGACACCAAAACCAGACAAACTATATGACAAAACCCAAACATCTTTTTAAAAGGAAAAAAAGAAATATAGGCTAATATCCCTCATTAATAAACAGTAGTTCCCCCTCCCTCATCTATGGCTCCACAGTTTCACTTACCCACAGTCAACCACAGCCTGAAAATATTAAATGGAAAATTCCTGAAATAATTTACAAGTTTTAAACTGCATGCCATTCTGAGTAGTGTGATGAAATCTTGCATTGTCCTGCTCTATCCCAGCTGGGATGTGGATCCTTCCCTTTGTCCAGCGCATCCAGCTGTATACTCTGCCTGCCCCTTAGTAACTTAGCAGCCGTCAGTTATCAGATTGACTGTGGTGGTGTTGCAGTGCTTGTGTTCAAATAACGCTTGTTTTACTTCATAACGGCACCAAAGCACAAGACTAGTGATGACAGCAATTTGGATATGCCAAAGAGAAGCCATAAAGTGCTTCCTTCAAGTGAAACGGCAAAAGTTTTCACTTTGAGGGGAAAAAAAAAAATCGGCTGGGCACTGCGGCTCACATCTGTAATCTCAGTACTTTGAGAGGCAGAGGCGGGTGGATCATGAGGTCAAGAGATCGAGACCATCCTGGCCAACATGGTGAAACTGCATATCTAATAAAAATACAAAAATTAGCTGGGCATGGTAGCATGTACCTGTAGTCCCAGCTACTCAGAAGGCTAAGGCAGGAGAATCGCTTGAACCAGGGAGGCGGAGGTTGCAGTGAGCCAAGATTGTGCCAATGTATTCCAGCCTGGTGACAGGAAAAAAAAATCATATGCTGAGGTTGCTAAGATCTATAGTAAGAATAAATCCTCTATCTGTGAAATTGTGAGGAAGAAAAAAATTCATGCTAGTTTTGCTGTCACACCTCAAACTGCAAATGTTACAGCCCTAGTGTGTGATAAAGTGCTTAGTTAAGATAGGAAAAGTATTTATGACTGGGTGTGGTAGTTCACACCTGTAACCCCAGCACTCTGGGAGTCTGAGGCAGAAGGATGACATGAAGCCAGGAGTTTGAGACCAGCCTGGGAATTACAAGACCCTGTTTCTAAAAAAATTACTAATAGCTAGGTGTGGTGGCAAGACCTGGCATAGGCCCTGCTACTTGGGAGGCTGAGGCAGGAGGATCACTTCAGTCCAGGAATTCGAGGTTGCAGTAAGCTACGCTAGTACCTCTATATTCCAGCCTGGGCAGCAGGGCAAGACTCTGCCTCAAAACAACAACAACAAAAAAAGATGGAAAAAGCATTTGTGGGTTTGATACGAGAAGATACCTAGGTTGTTTCCAATCAGAAATGTGTTCTGACTGAGAACAATCAGGTTCAGTAGGTTCAGTACTATCCGTGGTTTGGGAAATCCACAGGGGATGTTGGAATGTATCTCCTGCAGATATAGGGGGACTGCTGTACATGCAAAAATCAACAAGGTGTAGCAAATAGAATTCAACAATATATTTACAGAATTATATACCATGACCAAGGGGTTTTATTCCAGGGATGCTGGTTTAATATTCAAAAATCAACCACTGTAATCCACCAAATTAATGCTCTACAGAAGAAAAGCCACATGGTCCTATTGATTGATGCAGAAAGGGCATCTGACAAAATCCAACATCCATTCATAATTATTTTAAAAACCTCTCAGAAAAGTAGGAATAGAGGGGAACTTACTCAACATCATAAGAGCACCTCTAAAGAAACCTCCAGCTAATATTATAATAATGGAGAAAGGCTGAATGCTTTCCCTCTAAGATCAGGAACTAGGCAATGATGTCCATCTCAGAATTCTTATTCAACATAGTGCTGGAATTTCTAGCCAGTGCAGTAAGGCAGGAAAAGGAAATAAAAGGCACAGAGATCAAAACGGAAGAAATAAAATCTTTAAAGATAACATAGTTGTCTGTTTAGAAAATCCCAGAATCTACAAAAATCTCCTAGAACTAACCAGTTCAATAGTTGCAGGATACAAAATCAGCATACAAAGATCAACTGTATTTCTATATGCTAGCAATGGACACACGGACACTGAAATTAAAATACAATGTCACTTACAATTGCTTAAAATTAAAAAAAAGAAATATCACACAACATGTACAGGAACTGCTGCACACTACGCAACACTGATTAGAGAAATCAAAGAAGATCTAAATAAATGGAGAGACATAATGTGTTTATGCACTGGAAGATTGTAAGATGTCAATTCTCACCCAACTGATATTCAGTTTAATACAATTCCTATCAAAATCCCAGCAAGATTTTTTATAGATATGGATAAGATTATTCTATAATTTACAAGGAAAGGCAAATGAACTAGAATATTTTTAATTAAAAAGGAATGAAGAGGATATAATCTATTTACTAAATTATAAGACTTATTATATATCCACAGTAATGAAGACTGTGTGGTATTAGTGGAAACTCAGACACATGGATCAACGGAACAGAGGCTAGCAATAAACCAACACAGTATGCCCAATTTTGACAAAAGTGCAGAAGGAATTCGATGGAGGAAAAACGGCCTTTCAACAAATGGTGCTAGAGTGACAGTTTGTCCATAGGCAAAAAAACAAAAAATGCTTCAAGCTGATACAAAAAGTAATGTTATACAAAAAAAAAAAAGACACAAAATGGAACAAATCTAAATTGATAAATTGGACTTCATTAAAATTTAAAACTTTTGCTCTGCACAAAGTCCTGCTAAGGAAGACGAAAAGATCAGCCACCAAGTAGGATAAAATACTTTGCAAACGACGTATCTGACAAAGGACTAGTATCTAGACTGTATACTAGTATTTAGACTATATAAAGACCCTCAAAACTCAACTGTAAAAACACAAAACAATCCAATTAGAATATGGAGAGAAGACACGAGAAGACTTTCCACAGAAGATAAATAGCATAAAAAGGTGTTCAACACCAAAGCTATAGGGGAAAAGCAAATTAAAACCACACGAGATGTTACTATGCTCCTATCAGATGGCTAAAAAAACAAATGGTGACAACACCAAATGCTGGCAAGGTCACAAGGTAAGTACATCACTCATATCACTCATACACTGCTGGTGGGAATCAGTTTGGCAGTTTCTTAAAAAACTAAACATGCAACTACCATACAACCTAGGAACTGCACGCCTGGATATTTATTTCAGAGAATGCACTCACACAAAAACTGCATGTGAATGGTTATAGCAACTTTGTTCATAATAGCCCCAAATTGGAAACAGCCTAGGTGTCCCTTGTATCATGGAATGCGAGTCAACAATAAAAAGGAGCCAACTACTGATCCAAGCAACGACCTGGATGACTCACCAGAGAATTCTGAATGAAAAAAGCCAATCTCAGAGGTTCTAGGTTGTATGATTCTCTTCACATAAGATTTTTGGAAATGTCCAATTTATGGAAATTGAGAAGAATTCCTGGGTGGCTGGGGCTGGGGTGATGTGGGAGGGAGAAGGCGATGGAGACGCTGGGTACTCTGTGCATTGTAGCCAGTATCCCAGCTGTGGTGCCCTACCACAGTGTTGCAGGTCACCATTGGAGGACCTGGGCAAAGGAGTACATGGGATTTTTGTTATTTCCTATAACCACAGGGGAAACACAATTATTGCAACATAAGAAGTTTAGTAAAAAAGGAAAAACAAAACCCAGCTACCACTGTGGCCTCTGTAGTCAGTCCTCAGGGGTCTAAGTTGGATGGCCATGGGTCTCCTCCAGGGCACCGGCCTGCCATGGCCTTGAGCTGTACCATGTATGCTCTGCTGGCCTCTCCAGCTGCTTCCCTGGAGGCCACAGACATTTCCTCTCTCAGGAGTTCTTTTGCACTTTCCCTTCACCACCCTTCCCAGCCAGATCTGGGATGCATGTCAGGAAGAGCCCAACTGTCTCAACTCTGAGTTGTCCAACTGCCCCAAATGGGTGGCCAGGGGCAAAGGACGGAGAAACATCCCAGCATGCTCTTCTGGGTGTTATCAAGCTGCCAATGTTGACACTTCCCAGATGTCCTCTGGACACAGCCACCCCATAACAACCAGCCCACATTACATGCTTGGCTCTAACTCCATGTGGCCTGTATGTGGCTCCAAGAGGAGGAACAGTCGGTGACAGGATCTCTAACAGGTGGTTAGCTCGGGTTTCCTGTCCACTTGGACTCAACTGCCCTCAGACAGCAGTGGACGGGGAGAAAGGTGGTCAGACACATTGCGCAATCTGGCACCGAACAGGGCAGCCCTCAGTCAATGTAGACAGGTGGGTCTCCCCCTTCTTATCTCATCACATCCTGCCACCCCACTAGGGTCCCATGCCCTCACCTCGCATACACAAACATCTTCTATTCCATGGAATAAGGTGACTGACTGTCCCATACACAGCCCCCTCAAAATCCCACACCTTCTTCAAGAACGCTAACCGGCCCCAGGCCAAATGTGTCGTTCCCTCTCACAACACCACATCTAATCGCTGGGGACAAGAATCCAGCCTCATCCAGCAAAGCACCAAATACAAAGCTGGGCTCCAATGACCAAATAAGTAAAACATGTGAATGAGTCAACGGGTACATCACTTATTAGTCACTCACACCCAGCTGAAAAGGTAACTGCTCCCTAACAGCTCTGAGTGCTGCTGGAAGGTGCTTGCCCTCCCAGCCAAGACCTGGGCGAGCCAGGCTGCACCTCTGCCTCCCACACTCGGAGCTCCCAGGTCATTAGGACGATACTGGTCAGCATCCAGCAGTGATGTATGATCAGCACTCTGAGGAGCAAGGAGACATGAGCCAGGGCTGTACCCTCACATGGCTGAATCCAACTTGTATTTCTCCTTTCTCTTGAGTCAAAGTCTCCAGTTATACCACTGTGTACACTATGCCACCAAGGAAAAGAGGCAGGGCGTGGGAAAGCTGGCACTCAGACAGCAGCACACGGCCACACGCAAGAGCCACAGTGCTTCCATGCTCCTGGTACAGTGAACCCACATCCAAAGCCTGGGCCTGAAGAACTCAGAGAGAAGCAAATAGTCCCATTCCCGATGTGGGAAAAGCTCAATGCCCAACAGAGAAACAGTTTTGAGAGTGATGATACATCCACTTGCTAACATGCTACCTGGCCAGTTAATGACCAGTGAGGACGAGGATTCAAGAAGCCCTCCAGGGCACCACTCACACCATCAAATGCAGCCAGCGTGTCCTGCACAGGCCCTCATGGCTCCCTTGCTCTGTCTGCTGGTGACCAGCAACCCCTGAAGGTGTGCAATAGAATTTCTCCAGCAGCTGCCCTGAAGCTGGCACCACTCAAGGCCCCACAGATAAAAACATGAAGTACACAGGTCTCCCAAGGGGCTCATGGTCAGTTCTGTTTGTAACACACGTCAGGATGGATAAAGATTGAGAGTTAATGAGAAAACAGCTATTACATGGACTGCAGGGATCAGCAGCAGGTTGGGAGGCTTTTGCTTGATTTGACCATTTTTGTAATATAAATGCCACTACAAAGCACTTATCAGTTATTTTTTAGGGGAGGGAAAGATGCCTGTCTGACAGAGCATACAGGACTTCTGATATAACCCTGCCAGAGCGGCTTCAATAGGGGGGGTCTTGGTCATTCCTGGGAGAAGTAGGTGCAGTTAGGGAACCCCTACACTTCACTCCACAAACCGGACCTCACAGCTCCAGGTATTTAATGTAAACTGGCCTGGAAACAAGAAGGCCAATTCAAGTCCTGGCTCGACCACCCAGTGGCCAAGGGCAAGGCACTGTCTCTGTGATTCTCAGTTTTATCATCTACAATGGAAAAATACACATATTCCTTCCATACCATTTTTTATTCAAAAAAAAAAAAAAAGAGATCATGTCAGACACAAGCATACCTTGGGCAACTGAGCAATCAAAAACGCCTCAAGGTCAGGAACATAGACCCAGCACTTACACGGGTACACAAACCAAACCAGTGCTCACAGGAGTGCTTCACAGTGGAAGCGGCCAGTGGGAGCCCCAGGACAGCGTTGTGCAGTTCAAGTGCTGCAGGGTTTCTACTTCTGAGGGTAGGCCAAGGACCCAAATCCCACACTGGCTTCCTCACAGCAGGCTCCACCCTAGAATCCAGGCAGTGTTCATCCCCAGGAAAGTTCTTCAAGAGGAAAAGTTCCACACAGTACTGAAGAAGGGCCTACACCTGTAAGCAGAATATGTGCAAACTATGGCTATTACAGTCTCTGTAGTTTTCAGGTTGATTCTCGCCCTTTTCTTTTTCCCAAAAGAAAATACTTTCACACTCATAGCAAACAGGCTGTTTAATAATGTTTTCTGCATTTAAATTTGAAAGAGAAAGGATACCTGGGTAGCAGCCGTCTGGCCCTCTTTCTAAGCTTGTAAATCATGGAAGACTTCAAGGTTGCCTCTCTTTTCTGGGACATTCCAATGTAAGTCAGTAAGACAGTGAGGGATGAGGGCATATTAAAGTCCAGTCTCAAGCCTCACCCCTGCCAAGACTTTGTGTGTCCTGTGGCCACCCAGGTGGACTGTGAGAAAAGCAGGGGTGCTGAATCCAAGCATCTGGGGAGGGAAACTTCTTGGCAGAGCTGTGACCACCTGCCTTACCACAGTGGGGTCAGCACACACCTCTGACCATGCTCCAAATGGGGACTTCTCTTTCAGAACAAGCCTGCCAGGGCCGACGAGCACTGGTCACGACTGCATACCCCTTAAGAGGCCACAGGCTTGTCCTGTGTTGACCGAACTGTGCTAGAACTCCTAAGAGTTGTCTATGGGGCCTTGAGCCCTAGAAAATACCGTTCTGTTGCTGTACAGCCACACAGTTCTAAACCCAAACTGTGTGGGTTTAGATGCAATCATCATCATCTGCCAGGCCAGGCTTCCGGGAGCAGCCAGCCACTGTGCAGGTGTTAATGATAGAGCCATAGCCTCTGAAAGTGTTTCAACATCATCAGGACCCAGAGCCATGTCCAGAGAGGTAGCCCAGCCTCCGAAGAACACCAGCTCACCAGCTGGCAGGAAAGCATCCTGTGGGGAAGACACACACCCCAGCTATGGGAGCCCAAGGGTGGGTCTGCCTGCACCCCTCCCCGCTGGCATTGGAGCTGACCCCAGGGCTTAGGGCATTATGAGCCCTTACGAACTCCATTTTATACCCAAGGAAACCGAGGCACACAGAGACTCAAGGTCTATCCGAGGCCACACAGCTAGGAAGCAGGGGAAGCAGAACGGGAGCCAAGGCCACCTGGCTCCACACCTGGCCCTGGCCCTGGCCCATGGGACACTCCTCCACAGGTTAGCAGGCCACTCCAGAAAGTAAAAGGTGACACAGGTGAATGGCATGTTCCCAAGTGAGACGTTCTCCCAGGGGTGGGGGTCTGGTCCTCACCAGCACAGCACTCAGTTCTGCCCCGCATCCATGCAGCTGGGGCCACAGTCCTGGGAGGCTGCATGTAGGGGCTCAGGGAACCAGTGGGGCCCCAAGCACATCGCCCATGAGGCACACATGGAAGGAAGGGCCCTATAGCCTTTACTTCCAGATGAGACAGCCACAGACCACTCTTCCACAGCACACACCCAGCCTGGCCAACTGTGCAGGAGTTCAAGAAGCTGGCGAAGATTGCAGACTGTCCTCCAGAAAGACTCTCTTACTTGTGCCAAGACATCAAGCCTGGGCACAGGCTACCACCTATACTCACCCACAAAAAAACTGGGCCAATAAGCCATCTACTTCAAAGCCTCATCAGTAAGGAGCTCACCATAATTTATCATCCAAAGTGGGGTACTTGGGCAAGGAAAAGGGATCCTACTAATTATGCCAGGACTGGTGGACCCAGAACTCAGAACAGCTGTGCCCACCCCAGCTCCTGCAGACTGCAACTGGCTCACCTCCCAACTGGGCCACTCCCTGCCCCCCACTCTGCTGCTCTCTATGGAGGCAGGTCAGGGATGCCCCTGATGTTTACCAGACACTGCGAGGCCACTGATGCAAAGACTGCAAAGTCTCACCAACAAGGAGACAAAGGCACGAAAGGTGGTACAAAAGGACAGGAACTCACCACCGTGACGGGGAGCAAAGGGCAGACTTCAGAAATTGGAAGTCAGGGGTCACCACCTGTGGGAAGCTGACACAGCCACAGCCAAGCAGGACCCAAGGCAGCAGTGCAGCCTAGAACAGTGAACTGCAATGACCCTCCTATCGAGGCCAGCATGCTCCTCCAGCCAATGGCCCAACTTAAGCTTGACCAGTGGTCCACAAGGGTGGGAGTCCCTGAGGCCCTTTTTAGGGTCCCTGAGTCAAAACCATTTTTTTTTTTTTTGAGACGGTGTCTCGCTCTGTTACCCAAGCTAGAGTGCAATGGCATGACCTTGGCTCAATGAAACCTCCACCTGCCAGGTTCAAGCAATTCTCCTGCCTCAACCTCCTGAGTAGCTGGGACTACAGGCGCACGCCACCATGCCCAGCTAACTTTTGTATTTTTAGTAGAGACAGGGTTTTACCACTCTGTTCAGGCTGGGCTTGAACTCCTGACCTTGTGATCCGCCCACCTCGGCCTCCCAAAGTGCTAGGATTACAGGCATGAGCCACTGTGCCTGGCCATCAAAACCATTTTCATAAAAATACGAAGACATCCTTTGCCCCTTCTCTCATTCTTTCACAAGAGTATGGTACAGCTGCTCAAAGGCTACAGGACATGCTATGGCTGCGGACTGCAGAAGCTCTGGGAACCCAGCTGTCTTTCATTATGACAGACAGTAAAGAGCTCTGCAAAGAAGTAAAAACGTGGGGCTATTTAGCAATTTTTTGTTTTAGAAAAGTTATTTTTCAGAATATGTTACTTATGTGACTACGTAATAGGCTTGTTAAAGTGAATTCATGAATAGTTTTAAATTTTTCAGTTTTAACTTCTAATAAAAGAAATACCGATGAACATAACCCACATAAACTAAAGCCTTCTGAGGGTCTCAATAATCAAAAGCATAAAAGGTCTGAAACCCCAAAAGTTTGAGAACTGCTGACCTAGCCACCCACTCCCCTAGCATGTCCCCATCTTTCTGCACCTCTGCTCGGGGAGCAGCCCTGTACTTCTCAGTTGCCACGGGCCTAAACACAAACATGCCTTTAAGTCTATCTCCTGGTTTCTACTCAGAGTCCTTTCTATCCAACAGCACTACCTTAAAAGGCGACATCTAACTCCAGACTTTCTCTCCGTGGCTGTGTTACATACGGTCCATCTGGAAATGAAACAGGCTCCAAGGCACAGGCAGACAGGAAAACCTTTCTCTCAAAAATGCAGACCTCTGCCTTGGTGAGGAGGCCAGGAAGAGGGCATACCTGTTTCCCCAGGGACCTGCCACCCTCCCTCGGTCCCCACTCCCCATGACCCTGGAGCTCTGCTCCCAGGTCCCCACTCCCCATGGCCCTGGAGCTGTCCCCCCAGATCCCCACTGCTAATAGTCCTGGAGCTCTCTGCCCGGGGTCCTCATATCCCACAACCCTGGAGCTTTCCCCCTGGGGCCCCCACTCCTCACAGCCCTGGAGCTCTCCTCCCTGGATCCCCACTCCCCACAGCCCTGAAGCTGTCCTTCCCAGGTCCCTACTCCCTCCGGCCTTGGAGCTCTCCTCCCCGGGTTCCCACTCCTAATAGTCCTGGAGCTCTCCACTCCCCACAGCCCTGGAGCTGTCCTCCCAGGGTCCGCACTCCTCACAGTCCTGGAGCTCTCCTCCGCGGGTCCCCACTCCTCACAGTCCTGGAGCTGTCCTCCCCAGTCCCAACTCCCCACAGCCCTGGAGTTCTCCTCCCTGGGTCCCCACTCCCCACAGCCCTGGAGCTCTCTTCCCCGGGTTCCTACTCCCCACAGCCCTGGAGCTCTCCTCCCTGGGTCCCCACTCCTAATAGTCTGGAGCTCTCCACTCCCCATGGCCTTGGAGATCTCCTCCCCGGGTCCCCACTCTCCACAGC